ACAAATCTGCACGTCTTCCCCCCCCCCCCCAATAGCTAGCAATCCAAAACAGTCCAGTGGAGCCTGAGCGGTGGGTGTTGCCTTCTGACACACTTTCGGTGATGTCAGGGGTGTGTGGCACATGCAAATGAGTTATGCTAATGAGCCTCTGCACCTCTTTGTCTATGAAATGACACCCGGTCAGGTGCCACCTTGCCGTTACAGAATGGCATCGTTTTATCATTCTATACTTCCTGTTTACTGTTTACAGTCCACTTTGCCTGAGTTTGTCGCACGCGTCGTCCTCTCGTTCTGTAATCCTCCTCCTATCGCATTGTTCATTGAAAGTCTTACGGTGTCCGTTCGCACTGCTTTATATCTCGTGGTCCTGTGAGTTCCTGCTCGGGCATTAAGGTCAGGCCCTCCCAACTGTCCCATCGATCAAAGATTCTCGTCAGGTGGGTACGTGGGAGAGGGCGTTTTCGGTGGCAGCCCCATGATTTTCGATCTTTAGGAGGCAGCTGAAGAAGGTTTTCTTAAGGACTGCGTTTGATGAGTGCAGGCACGAACTGTGATTTCAAATTTCTTGCTTTTGTGTATTTTTGCGTACTCCATTTTATGTGTTCTAGTTATATGGTAGGCTGCCTGGAGCTCCGTCAGGAACAAAGGCAGCTAGTAAACATTTTTAATAATAATCCGCACTGAGTCTCAGCGGGAGAGGGGGTGGGTGTTGTTCAGTCGCACAGTTGAGTCCGGCTCTTCGCGGCTCCATGGACCACGTCCCGCCAGGCCCTCCTGTCTTCCGCCGTCCTCCGGAGTTTGCTCAGTTTCATGTCCGTTGCCTCGATGACACTGTCTGACCATCTCCTCCTTTGCCGTCTCCTTCTTCTTTGACCTTCGGTCTTTCCCAGCATCAGGGTCTTCTTCTCCAGTGAGGGCTCCCTTCTCATTGGGTGGCCAAAGTATTTGAGCTTCAGCTTCGGTCTCTGGGCCTTCCAGGGAACCGTCAGGGTCGATTTCTTCTGTTGTTGTTCAGTCACACAGTCGAGTCCGACTCTTCGCGACCCCATGGACCAGATCACGCCAGGCCCTGCTGTCTTCTGCCGTCCTCCGGAGTTTGTACAACTTCATGTTCGTTGCATCTATGACACTGCCTGACCTTCTCATCCTTTGCCGTCCCCGTCTTCTTTGACCTTCAATCTTTCCCAGAATCAGGGTCTTCTTCTCCAGTGAGGGCTCCCTTCTCATTGGGTAGCCAAAGTCTTTGAGCTTCAGCTTCAGTCTCCGGCCTTCCAGGGAACAGCCAGGGTTGATTTCCTTTAGGATGGACTGATTTGATCTCCTTGCAGTCCAAGGGAGACTCTCAAGGCAAGAGAAGGTGGAGTATAAATTAAATAAATAAAACAGAGTTGGATTTCAAGGGTGGGACTTGCACAGTATGAATGAAGGTGCCCCCCCAACACCCTCTTGTTATTCACACTCTGTTGTCCAAAATAGATCTTTGGCCTCACATGGAGTGTGTGTGTGTGTGTGTGTGTGTGTGTGGGGTCCTCAAGGGATCCAGCGAGCTTGAGATGAGTCCTCCATTTGCAGGGTGGTCTTTTGGAGAAGGGGATTGCACCCCTGCTGAATTCTAGAGCTGGAACCATTCCACACCCCTCGTGAGAGCAAACTGGACGCCAGTTTCCTCCGCCGAACTGGAACGAGCCACCCATGTGCCCTCCCTCTGCATCCTTGCGTGTAATTATGTGCTATTTCCCCCCCCCCAGTGCAATCCCTTATTAAAAGCATAATTAGACACATTCCCCCTGCCCCCATCTCTAACCGTTGATTAAAAAAAGCAAAGGCGCAAATGAGACCGCAGGAGGGAAGAGCCTCCATTGTAGAACTGTGGCTCGGCCCCACGGGCCTGCCTTTTCAAAAACGCAGTGGAGAATCCCCGGGGGACAAGTCTGGAGGGGGATGCCTCTGAGCATGTGCAGAGTCCCTTGCCACTGCGTAGCCAAAGTTCCTGCCCTGAATCACATGTAAATAAAAAAAATAACACCCCCCCCCCCGCCTGCTCGAAGCAAGGAGGGCAGGTCCCCCCCCCCGCAGGCGTTTTCTTCCCCTGCCTGGACGGGTTTCCTGGGCTCTTATGTAACCGGTCCTGGTTGCTGGTTCACCTCCCCAACAGTCTTGTCCTTGTTGTGGGACAGAGGAGCGGGTTCTCCGGGCTGGGGCTTGCAGGAGTCTGGGCATGTTCATTTCCCCCCCCCCCCCCCCAGCTGAGCTTCCAGATTCTTTCTCGGAGGGCAAATGGCACACCAGGCCTGCGAGATTCGCCTTTAATCTCCTTCCTTTGTTACTGTAGGGTGTCGGCTGCCTGAAGACCTTTAGGCCAGTGCCGTGGCTGGCGTTTTTTTTACCGAGCCGGAGATAATTATGCGACTGCATTTGCATAGTTTCCGTGAAGGCTCTATTATTATTATTTTTTTTGGGAATGCACAAATGGGGTGAGAATTCATCCGCTGCCCTGTTTTTTTGTTTGTTTGTTTGTTTGTTGGCTCTTGTTTTTATCCTTGTAAACAAGAAGACAAGTAAACGTCATATATATATATGTTTTTTTGGTCATTGCCTGTAAACAGGCAGGGATTTTGATCAAGACGGGTAGCTGTGTTCGTCTGTCTGTAGCCAAAGGACATCACCCTGCCAACAAAAGTCCGCGTGGTCAAAGCAATGGTATTTCCAGTAGTCATGTACGGCTGCGAGAGTTGGACTATAAGGAAGGCCGAGCGCCGAAGAATAGATTCTTTTGAACTAGGGTGCTGGAGAAGACTCTTGAGAGTCCCTTGGACTGCAAGAAGATCAAATCAGTCAATCCTAAAAGAAATCAACCCTGACTGTTCCCTGGAAGGCCAGATAATGAAACTGAAGCTCAAATACTTTGGCCACCCAATGAGAAGGGAGCCCTCACTGGAGGAGAAGACCCTGATGCTGGGAAAGATTGAAGGTCAAAGAAGACGGGGACGGCAAAGGATGAGATGGTTAGACAGTGTCATCGATGCAACGAACATGAAGTTGAGCAAACTTCAGAGGACGGCGGAATACAGGAGGGCCTGGCCTATGGGGTCGCGAAGAGTCGGACTCGACTGTGCGACTGAACAACAACAACAAAGCCAAAGGAAAGGGCCCCGGAGTCTGGGAGCACCTTCAAGACTAACAACATTTGTGGCAGGATATGAGCGTCCGGGTCTTGCTCACTTTTTCAGACTTCAGAGTGCCAGGAGCACCTAAAGACTTAACAATATTCGTGGCAGGGGATGAGCTCTCTGTGAGTCCCTGCTCACTTCTTTGGAGACAGCGTATCTGAAGTTCATCCCTTGCCACAAATTTTGTTCGTCTTTTTGTTCAGCTGTTTTTCACAGTCTTTTCTTGCAGTCCGGTGCAGACAGGGGAACGCAAGCAGCGCTCCCTCTAAGCTGTGGAGTCTTGTGAGCAAAGATTCGACTTTGTGTGCTACTGGCATTAAAGTTGTGAGCGAGCGATTTGGCCGCTGGCATAAACGAGTCTGCTCCGGAGCCCTCCTTCCCGAGCTGAGGCAAAAACGCCTGAGCCGGAGGCTAAAAAACTATGAGCTGACTCACACTAACTCAGCTTAGAGGGAACACTGAACGCAAGACCTATAAAGAGGGGAATGTGCCCTAGCTTGGGTTGCCAGCTCTGGGTTGGGAAATACCTGGAGCTTTTGGGGGTGGAGCCTGGAGAGGGTGGGGTTTGGGGAGGGGAGGGGCCACTGTCCCCTCTAAGCTGAGTTAGTGTGAGCTAGCTCACTTGCTTTCTAGCCTCCGGCTCACCCGTTTTTCGTCTTAGCTCAGGAAGGAGGGCTCCAGAGCAAACGGCTTTATGCAGCAGCCAAATCGCTCGCTCACCAAGTAGGAGCCACGGAGTCCACCCTCCAAAGCGGCCACTTTCTCCAGGGGAAACAGATTTTGCTCGTCTGGAGATCAGTTTTGACAGCAGGGGATCTCCCGGTACCGTCTGGGGGTTGCCAGCCCTCGCACGGGGCTTGGCTTGCACCTGCCGCCGCCGCACCAGAGGACCTTCCCGGGCTACAGAAGCGGCCTGACTCACCAGGCGAGGGATAGTTTTCCGGCTGGTTAGGCACCCCATAAAAAACCTACCATGCAAACTGGAATTAGCACTGACTAATAGCTCATTAGTCGCTCGGTCGTTAAATCTGGGCCTGGCGTCCTCCCAGAATCCTCCTCGAGGGTTGGGCGGAGGAAGACAAACGGATGACGGGGCGGCCGCTGGGGAACCTACCCCCCCCCGGAAACAGCGCCCGGTCCTGCTTTGGGGGGGTTCCAGCGGGGCACTTGTGGCTCCGCCGTCACGGCTTCCACAAGGACACGCGAAACGTGTCCTGGGAATCCCGCCCGGGTCTCGCAGAGCGAACAGCCACCACGCTGGTCTTGAACTGGGCCTGGAGTGGGTGTCCTGGCCGGTTGGGGGAGACAGGGCCAGCCATGCTGACACACAGCCAGAACCGGACTCTTTGTCCTGCACCAGACGCAGGAAGAAGACATCCCCTGTCTGTTTTCTTGGCAGATCCGGGTTCCTCCCCCCGCCTGCCTGCCTGCCTGCCTGCTCTCAGCCCCACCCAAGACGTTTCAAGGGCAGGCCGTGTTCGGCTTCTTCCTGGCTGGATCAGGTGGCCTCCCCAGGTGTCTCCGCCGGGCCTCGGCTCAGTTTCTCCGATTACGCAAGAGTCCTGAGTCATGACTAGCAGTGTCTCTTTCCCAGCCCCTCCCAGGGAAACCTGGCACCGGAGCACCGTTTATAAGCCTGCGATTCACGAGGGCTGCCTTTTGAAGACGGCTTGGGCAGGCGTGGCAGGAGCCGGGGGGGGGGGGGGGGGGGGGGTTGGAGGTAAAATCACGGCAGGGCACGGGGTCGTGGGGGTTGGGGTTACGTCCGGCTAGGAAGGTGACTTGTCTCCGAACGCCAGTCATGGACGTTATTCGTCTCCCTAGGTCTCTCCAACACCCGGGGCGTTGGCGGCCGTCGGCATCGGAGCCGAAACCACCGGTTGGCACCATGGCGAGCGAAGATGTCGGTGACGCCCGGGCCATCCTGGAGCTCAATTTCCAGTGTAAGTTGTGTGTGTGTGTGTGTGGGGTCGTGGTCCTTGTCTGGGCATTCCTGGAAGGCTTCGAGTCCGGAAGCGCCTTAGAAAGCCGCAGAATTTTTGGAGTATGGACTCTCGAGCGTCCAAGCTCACTTCGTCAGGTACAAGAGCGTTGAGCCTTGAAAGCTTCTACCTCAAAATTCTTGTTGGCCTCTACGGAGCCACGGCACTCAAATAATGCCGTTGTGCTGCAGACCGATATGGTTGCCCTCGGAAACTAACTTCCTGGAAAGAGCCGGAGCCGTGCAAAACATCCCTGTGTGACTCTTAATGTCGCATGTGTCGATATTGCACCAGCGTCTCGCTCTCTCCCCCCCAGCCCAGTGCCTGAGTTGTGGTGATGCTGGGCCCGCACTGCAGGGGCATTGTGTCTTCATGTGCAGGTGCCAGGCACTGCAGCAGCCACACCCAGCCCTGTGTTTACAGCAAGGTCTTCTCTTCCAGTCTGGTGTAGTGGTTAAGTTCAACTTGGCAACCCTACTTTGCGTGGAAAGTTATGGCACAAAAGTACATGAAATGAGGGGACAGAGCAGGGATCCCAAAACGTTTTGAGCCTGTGGGCACCTTTGGAATTCTGACACAGCCCGTTGGGAGGCGGCCACAAAATGGCCGCCGCGGGGGGCAGGGCCGGCCACAAAATGGCCACTGCAGCTTAAGTTCTTGTGCTGTGGTGGCAGCTGCGGCCCAAGCAGCATTTTGAAATACCTGCGCAGCCAATCAGAAGCCTTGCTGGGCAAAAGCCGCACCCGGCCCTGCCCGCTTCCGAAAAACCCACGGTAGGCACAGGTGTCGGTGCCCTGGTGCCCACAGGTGCCGTGCTGGGGACCTCCCCGGGATAGTTCTGATGGTCTTTCTGTTGACTGTACTGGAGGACAGTCCGAAACGACGGCTGAGGGGTGACATGATTGAGGTTTATAAGATTATGCCGGGGATAGAGCCAGCCCCGTAGCTAGGGAATTCTTTGTGAGGGGGCCTTGGGGGGGCCACCAGCTAATTAAATGGAAGTACAGTGCAGGTGGTAGGTTGGAGCATTTGGGGGGCAGCCCAGGAGAGAGGGGGCCCAGAAGAAACACTAGGGGGCCGGGCCCCGTGGGCCCCATGTTAGCTACGGGCCTGGATAGAGCAGGTAGAGAAAGAGGTACTCGTGGGCACTCCATGAAGTTGCTGAGCGGTCGGGTTAGAACGGATAAAAGGAAGTCCTTCTTCACCCAAAGAGTGATGAACACATGGAATTCACTGCCACAGGAAGGGGTGGCGGCTACAAGCATGGACGGCTTCAAGAAGGAATTGGATAAGCACATGGAGCAGAGGTCCATCAGTGGCTCTTAGCCACAAGGTACAGACAGGAAGTCTTAGGCAGGGGCAGGTGATGCTCTGTATTCTTGGTGCTTGGGGGGGGGCAACAGTGGGAGGGCTCCTATTGTCCTGGCCCCACTGCTGGACCTCGCCCCTGATATTTCTGGCCACTGTGTGACAGAGTGTTGGACTGGATGGGCCATTGGCCTGATCCAACATTGGTTTCTCTTAGGTTCCTATGTTTCTTATGTAGGACAACATCGCTTGGGAAATGTGTCCAAAACAAGGGCAGTTTCAGACATCTTCCTTTCCCAGAGAAGGAAGCATGCACTGAGCCCTGTTTGACACACGAGCAGTCCAGAACGTGTCTCTCTCTCTCTCCCCCCCCACCTTCCCGGCAGCTCTGGCTTCCAAGCACATGGACCTCAAGCAGGTGGAACTGGATACCGCGGCCGCCAAGGTGGACGAGCTCTCCAAGCAGCTGGAGTCTCTCTGGACGGGCAGCGCTGGCCAGTCCAGCGTCTCACAGAAGGTACGGCAAAGGGCCGAGTGAGGCTAGGGGACAGCGGCCTTGCAGTAATGCCGCTGTTTGGGGGGCGGATGGGGACTGGGGGGGTCCAGAGGAAGGGGGAGGGTTGGTGGCTTCCGGAGTGTGTCAGCGGAGCCAGAGTTCGCACCTGGTGTTCAAGAGATGTTTGCAGACTCATTGGAGCGTAGCCCCACCTTGTCATAGAATCACAGAGAGTTGAAAGGGACTTCCAGGGTCATCTAGTCCAACCCCCTGCACAATGCAGGACATTCACAGCCCCCCACGCACACCCAGTGACCCCTGCTGCATGCCCAGGAGCACGGGATACAAGCTGATTTTGAGATACATGGCTGATCTCCTGGTGACGTGTTGGATGGTGAGGCACTGCTGTGCGTGGGAATCGTGGCCTCTAGAACCTGAGCTACTGGCTTCCTTGTGAACTGGCTCCGCTGGTGGACCTCCTGATGGCCCCTGATGTGCCACTGTGTGGCACAGAGTGTCGGCCTGGATGGGCCTTTGGCCTGATCCAACATGGCTTCTCTTACGTTCTTATGTCCGGGGCAAGGGATTCTCTGTCTTCTTGGTGCCTGAGGGAGGCAACAGTGGGAGGGCTTCTGGAGTTCTGGTCTTGCTAGTGGACCTCCTGATGGCCCCTGGGTTTTGGCCCCTGTGTGACACAGTGCTGGACTGGATGGGCCATCGGCCTGATCCAACATGGCTTCTCTTACGTTCTTATGTCTGGGGCAAGGGATGCTCTGTGTTCTTGGTGCTTGGGGGGGTAAGAGAGAGAGGGCTTCTGGAGTTCTGGCCCTGCTGGTGGATCTCCTGATGGCCCCTGGTCTTTTTGGCCACTGTGTGACACAGAGCGTTGGACTGGATGGGCTGTTGGCCTGATCCAACATTGGCTTCTCTGATGTTCTTATATCTGGGGCAAGGGATGCTCTGTATTCTTGGTGCTTGGGGGGGGGGGCAACAGTGGGGGGGCTTCTAGTGGCCCGGCCCCACTGCTGGACCTCCTGATGGCACCTGGTATTTCTGGCCACTGTGTGACACAGAGTGCTGGACTGAATGGGCCATTGGCCCGATCCAACATGGGCTTCTCTCTTGTGTTCTTATGGCCTGTTTGCCCAGAAGTCCTCGGTCTGAAACTTGGACTGTTTTGCTCAACGTAAACATGTCCTGATCTCGTCAGATCTGGGAAGCTCAGCAGGGTCGGCCCTGGTGTTTAGTGCTTGGATGGGAGACCCCTGAGGAAGCCCAGGGTTGCTACGCAGAGGCAGGCAAGGGCAAACCACCCTCTGAACGTCCCTTGCCCTGAAAACTCCCCGGGGTTGCCGTAAGTCAGCTGTGATTTGATGGGAAATACCAGCGAACTGGGATAGGTAACATCCCGCCTGCCTACCGTTATTCCATGTACGAAAAGGGATTTCTGGGAACGTCCCTGATGGAGACCGGCTCCTCAGCGCTTCACCTCGGCTACCCACAGGCCGCCTGGCTCCCTGGCTGTCAGGTAGTCAGGACTGAGGGAAGGCGAAGGTGGTATGCGAGGGAAGTACAGAGAAAGAGAGGCAGCGGGCGGGGTGGCAGGCTGGAGTGGCGAGAAATGTGCTGGGCTAGGCCCATGGAGACCCAGGTTCAAATCCCCACACGGCCATGGGTGGCTTTGGGCCGGCCGGTCCCCTTCGGCCTAGGCCACCTCACAAGATTGTTGTGAGGCAGGCCTGTCGCCACAGTGGGGTGTTTTGGGGCCACGCCCCCTTAATTAAAAGCCCTGCCCCCCCCAATAGCCATGCCAGGAATCTTATTTTTGCATGTTTCCTAAAGGCCCATGGGAAAGACTCACCATGCCCTAGGTGGTCTACAGCAGGACTGAGCTAGCAGAAAGGTGGGAGGGTCTTACGAGGAAAGGCTGAAAGAGTCGGGTCTGTTTCGCCTGGAAAAGAGAAGGCTTAGAGGGGACATGATTGAACTCTTCAAGTATCTGAAGGTCTGTCATGTAGAAGATGGAGCAGATCTGTTCTCTCTTGCTCCGGATTGCAAGACTAGATCTAATGGGTGGAGGTTACAAGGGAGTCGTTACCGACTAAATATCAGGAGAAACTTCTTAACTATCAAAGTGGTTGAGTCGTGGAACAGTCTGCCTCGGGAGGGGGTGGATGCTCCTTCGCTGGACGTTTTCAAGCGGAGGCTGGACGACCCTCTTTCGGGTATATTGTAGGTATGTAGGGCTGTCTTTCGGCCTATGCTCCTGCAGAGTGCAGGGGGCTGGACTAGATGACCTGCAAGGTCCCTTCCAACTCTAACGTTCTATGATTCTATGAAAGGGGGATTGTAGGAGATTTATTGAAGGTACCACTCTTGAGGGCCCTTCTAATTTATTTATTTATTTCGACTTCTATCCCGCCTTGTCTGGCAAGCAGGCTCAAGGCGGCTTACCGTGAGTTAAAATTACAATAAAACACAGATAAAATTCCAACAATAATATATAAAGTGCAGATTAAGTACAAATAGCGAAGTGCGGATGGCAATTGTCGTAAGATGGTCCAGTATGACTAGACCAGGATCCCAGTAGAGCGCCTGTAAGCTTTCTTGCCCAGTGGAAGCGAACTCGAAAGGCACTTAAATGCCTTCTGAAGGCAAATAAAGGCCCTTTGAGCTGTTTTTCCCCCTAGGAATTGACGCACGTGCTACCCTCTCTCTTGAAAGGGAGGCCTAGAGACGGGCTCGGAGCTTCCCCCTTTAAAGACAGGCGTTCAGGTTAATTTCATTAACTGTAATTTAACTGACCCCCTAAAAATTTAAGTCCCCCCCCCCCGAACCAAAAAAATTCCTTGCAAATCTGTTGCGAGGACAGGACAGAAGGGAGAACCGTGTTCTGGGTGCGAGTTTCTAGGTGGCAGGCCAGGACAAAGAGGGATCAAGAAAAGGGTCAGCAGCTGTCTGGCCAGGTATTCCCCCGGGGGGGGGGGACTGCCTTTTCCGCACCTGTGGTTTGCACTTCACCTGTGTCTTTGCTTTTGGCAGGGGGACTGGCCCAGCACCAGTTCCTGGTCCTCCCAAGACCCCCCTGTCCGGACGGTCCCCATCACCGTCTCCCCGCCCCACCAGTCGCCTTGGAAGAGCGCCTCCCTGGACTCATCGGAGAGCTACTCTTCCTCCTACTCCTTCAACGAGAACTCGGCCGGTTTGTCCCCGGTGACTTCCTACGGCTCCCTCCCGGCCAAGTCGACGCTCGGCCGGCCCACCTCCCCGCGGCCTTCCATCTTCCTCCATCCTGAGCTGGACCGAGCCACATCCCCCCGGCCGAAGGTGCTGCCGGTCCCGTACGAGTCGATGCCCGGCGCCGTGGGCCACCCGTCCTCCCCTCGCTTCTACCGGTCGGCTGGATCCTTGGAGCGCCAGTACGATTACAAGCCCTACTCCGGGCCGACGGGCCGCGCCGGTTCTCCGCGGCTGCCGACGGACGGCTCGGGGCCGCCGATGTTTTTCCCGGACCGAGCGCCTTCTCCGCGGCCACCTCTGCCGCCGCCGTATGAGAACCACAGCATGTACCCCTCGATGCCAAACACCTTCCCGCCCTTCCGGGCTCAAGGTAATGGCCGGATGTGTACTGCATTTTGCAGGGTGGAGGTAGTGATGCCAGCCTCCAGGCGGGACCTGGAGATTCCCCGGAGTTACAACTCATCTCCAGACCGCAGAGATCAGTTCCCCTGGAGAAAATTGGCTGCTTTGGAGGGTGGACTCTATGGCATTGTACCCCACTGAGGTATCTCCCTAGGCCCCACCCACAAATCTCCCAACCTGGAGTTGGTGTCCTTAGGCAGAATTCCCTAGCATTTAATAATCACTGAGAAAAATTAGATGGAGTATTAAGACTGAGGTTTAGATAGCTTCTTGTTTGTATATACTGTAAAGAGCCAGTTTGGTGTAGTGGTTAAGAGCGAGGACTCTGATCTGGGAGAGCTGGGTTTGATTCCCCACTCCTCCACCTGCTGCTGCTAGTGTGACCTTTGGTCAGTTACAAGTTCTCTCAGAGCTGTTTTCTCAAGTGCAGTTCTCAAGAGAGCTCTCTCAGCCCCACCTACCTCACAGGGTGTCTGTTGTGGGGAGGGGAAGGGAAAGGAGATTGTCAGCCGCTCTGAGACTCCTTTGAGTGGTGGATGGCTGGGTATAAATCCAATCTCCTCCTCCTCCTCCTTCTCCTCCTCCTTTTCCTGTTATTTTGTGCTTTGAAAAAAAATCAAGAGGGTTATTGCTGAGGGGCGCTTCGTTTTCTAAGAATCCAAACATCCACTCTTTAAGAAACGAAGCAAGTTGCAGGTCCCTGTGCATACAAAGAGCACACAGGAGGTGCTAGAAAGCCCGAGGAGTTCCTCGCTAGATTTCCAGGCACTGCGGCTTCAACGTGCTTTTTAGCTTTTTGCGTCACCCAGCGACGAGTGGAATCAGGCACGCAAATGAGTAAAAACTGCAGGATACACGTTGCAGAAGGAGAGGTTGTAGCAGAGCCCCTGCGTGGCTTGCAGGAGTTGCAGAGTCAGGCCTTGGCGATATGCAGTAAAAAGCTTCTGGGCGGCAGCAGTTCTCGGAGACTCTGGAGGGAGACCACCGAGCTAGCTAAGCCCGAGGGTCCCACTGGGCAGGAAGCCACCCTGTGTACACAAAGTCATGAGATCTGTCCTGATCTGGCCAATGAAAGTTCCTCTCTTCCTGTTCAGAGATTTGTTTTAAGGCAGCGTGCGGGAAGGGGGGGGGGACTCTGGCTCTGCGGCCACAAAAGCACCAACGGGGCCTGTCTTTCCTCCGGCAGATGATTTGGTGCTTCGGAGGAGAGTGCAGAAGGCCTGGAACGAGTCTGACCTGGACGTGGCGTATGAGAAGAAGCCAGCCCACCCGGTTGGCTACGAAAGTGAGTATGGAAACCAGCGTGGTCTAGTGTGGTCGAAGCGTTGGTTAAAGCGCTCTGGGAGAAACCAGGTTCGAATCCCCTCTTTGCCCTGGAAGCTTCCTGGGTAACCTTGGGCCGGGCACACTCTCTTAGCCCCACATACGCCGCATAGTCGTTGTGTGGGTAAAGCAGAGGAGAGGAGGGTGTGATGTCGGCCATTTGGGCGGAATGTAAGTACAGAAAATGAACGTGGCAGGGGAGGCCGTGTTTGATTGGCTGCTCATCCCAGCTTCCTGTCTTGTGGTTGGAAGGAAGCAACCAGTCAGAGGTCCCACCCCCGGATGTCACGGTGGGTGGAGAGAGTGGGCGAGAAGCCCCCTGGAGCACCCTGCCTCCCACCACAGTATTTCTCCTTCCTTTTTTTGGGGGGGGGTTATTTCACTGTTGTTTGACGTTTCAAAGTAATACAGAAATACACAATTGCGAGTAGAAATTACAAAATCTTGCAAACGAGAGTCAAAATATGTTTCAGTCAATGCTCCCTCCAAGCTGTGGAGTCTTGTGAGCAAAAATTCTACTTTCTGAGCTACTACTGGCATTAAAGTTGTGAGTGAGCGATTTGGCTCCTGCATTAATTAGTTCGCTCTGGAGCCCCATCCTTCCTGAGCGAAAACAAAAATGTGTGAGCCGGAGGCTAAAAAACTGTGAGCTGGCTCACATTAACTCAGCTTAGAGGGAACACTGGTTTCAGTATATTTACTCATCTAGTAACGTGAGGGTAACAATGTAGCAGTCTTAATATTGTGTCAGTTATCAACAGTGCTCTTAAGAATTAAAGTATGTTTAATAAAGTTCTGTACTCTTTAAAAGAGCTTTCTGGAAATTGGTTTTATATTCCTAGAAGATCAGATAAACGTCAACGGTGCCTTTAGTGCAGGGCTCATTATTAGTTAGGTGCAGGGCTAATTTCCTGCAGGAGCGCACAGGAGCGGAGCTCTGGCAGTAAAGAGCCCAGGGGGCGGGCACAAGCAACAAGCCCCACCCAGTCAGAGCAAGAAGCAGCCGGGTAAGTTGCAGAGCTCCCCCCCCCAGCCCCCCGGTCCAAAACAGTCCAGTGGCACCTTTAAGACCAGGTTTTATTCAGGTACAAGCTCTCCCTCCTCTGTGAGGACAGATCTGCAGCCCCCCCCCCAGCTAGCAATCCAAAACAGTCCAGTGGCGCCTGAGCGGTGGGTGTTGCCTTCTGACACACTTCTGGTGACGTCAGGGGTGTGTGGCACATGCAAATGAGTTATGCTAATGAGTTATGCTAATGAGCTCCTGCACCTCTTTTTCTACAAAATGACCCCTGGTTAGGTGTAAATCATTTTGAGATAAATCGGGTTATGTGGTTGGATATCAGATGCAGTTATGTATTCTATAAACGGAGACCATTTCTTTAAAAAGTTGGAGCGTTGTGGGAAGCAGTCGACTTGTCGTAAAGAATCTGTTATCTTTTCCATAAGGAGGAGGTCCCGGACTTTCGATAACCAATCATCTATCGTGTTTCTCCTTCCAGGAGGAGACCCTCACGGGGGGCTGCGTCAGAGTGCGCCGGGGCTGCCCCTGGCCCCTTGGAGGGAATCCAGTTTGGACGGTGGGGGCGCCGGGCAAGGCAAGGTGAGTAGGACGCCCTGCACTTGGACGGCTGTGTATTTCCACGGGGCTTGTGTAGGGAGACTTCCCGTGGATCGTGGCCCACGAGGAGCCCTGGAAGGAGAGCAAAAAAGTGCTAAAAACAGGCAGTCGAGGTGAATCTCTGATGGAAGCGTACATTTGGGCTCTCCTGCAGGGCGTCCCCCATGTGAGGGAAGCGGGTGGGCGGGCTGGGGTGTTCTTTCTGGTCCCCTAGACAGAAATGGGGGGGGCGTGGCATGCAGAAGGTCCCACGTTCAGTCCCCAACCTCTCCAGTTAAAAGGACCAGGCAGGAGGTGATGGGAAAGACCTCCGCCTGAGACCCTGGAGAGCTGTCAAGAGGGGCCGTGGCTCAGTGGCAGAGCCTCCACTTGGCATGCAGAAGGTCCCAGGTGCAATCCCCGGCATCTCCAGTTAAAAGGGACCAGGCAGGAGGTGATGGGAAAGACCTCCGCCTGAGACCCTGGAGAGCTGTCAAGAGGGGCCGTGGCTCAGTGGCAGAGCCTCCACTTGGCATGCAGAAGGTCCCAGGTGCAATCCCCGGCATCTCCAGTTAAAAGGGACCAGGCAGGAGGTGATGGGAAAGACCTCCGCCTGAGACCCTGGAGAGCTGTCAAGAGGGGCCGTGGCTCAGTGGCAGAGCCTCCACTTGGCATGCAGAAGGTCCCAGGTGCAATCCCCGGCATCTCCAGTTAAAAGGGACCAGGCAGGAGGTGATGGGAAAGACCTCCTCCTGAGACCCTGGAGAGCTGCTGCCAGTCTGAGTAGGCAGTACTGATTTTGACGGATTAATGGTCTGATTCAGTATAAGCCAGGTTCGTGTGTGTCCACGTGCAAACTATAGTGGGTGCAAAAACTAGGGTTGTTATACTCTGCCTTCCATTTCTGCAGTGCCATGACAATAACTAGGCGTGTTCCTGTTGTCAGGGAGGGTCTGTGGGTCAGACTAGCGTCTCTGCTTGGCATGCAGAAGGTCCCAGGTTCAATCCACGGCCTCTCCAGCTAAAGTTTCAGATTACAGGTGATCTGAGAGAACTCCGCCTGAGACCCCGGAGAGCCGCTGCCAGTCTGAGTAGGCAATACTGACATTGATGGAATCAGCAGTCTGATTCAGTAGCCAGTTTGGTGTAGAAGTTAAGGGCGCGGACTCTAATCTGGGGGAACTGGGTTTGATTCCCCACTCCTCCACTTGCAGCTGCTGGTGTGACCAAGGGTTAGTCACAAGTCCTTTCAGAGCTGTTCTAGAAAGGGCAGTTCTCTCAGAGCTCTCTCAGCCCCACCTACCTTGCAGGCTGTCTGTTGCGGGGAGGGGAAGGGAAAGGAGTTTGTAAGCTGCTCTGTGACATCTTCGGGTAGTGAAGGGTGGGGTATAAATCCAATTCTCTTCTCCTTCTCCTCCACATGCAGCTGCTGGTGTGACCTTGGGTCAGTCACAAGTTCTCTCAGAGCTGTTCTCTCAAGGGCAGTCCTCGGGAGAGCTCTCTCAGCCCCACCCGCCTCACAGGGTGTCTGTTGTGGGGAGGGGAGGGGAAGGGAAAGGAGTTTGTAGGCCGCTCTGAGACTCCTTCGGGTAGTGAAAGGCGGAGTATAAATCCAATCTCTTCTCTTCTTCTTCTTCCGTGCGTTCATGTGTGCTTCTTCTCCCCAGGAGGAGCATTATGGGATGCACAGCGCCACTTTGCCCCGGAACTACAAGGTCTCCCCGCTGGCCAGCGAGCGCCGCTCCGAGGGCTCCTTCCGCCGCTCCCTCCCCGCCAACCCGGCGGGCACTCTGCCCCGCAACTGGCAGTTCGCCCAGCAGCCCATCTCTCGCATCCCCATGCCGCCCCCCAGCCCCCAGGGGAGCCGCCCCAAGCGCCACAAGCCCCTGCCCCTCTCCATGATCTTCCGGCTGCAGAACGCCTTCTGGGAGTACGGGGCGTCGGGCACGAAGCTCCCCCTCGCGCAGGGGCCGCCGGGGTCCCCCCTCTTCCGTCCCCTCCCCAAGCAGGCGCCGCACCAGCCGCTCACGCCGACCCAGCATCACATGAGGATGGCGCCGTCCGGGAGCGAAGGTGAGTGAGCCACCTCTGATGGGGGGGGGGAGGCGCCCGCCCTGGGGTGCTCAGCAGTGTTCCCTCTAAGCCGAGTTCGTGTGAGCCGGCTTACAGTTTTTTAGCCTCCGGCTCACACATTTTTGTCTTCGCCCAGGAAGGATGGGGCTCCAGAGCTAGCTGATTTCTGCAGGAGCCCAGTCGCTCGCTCACAACTTTGATGCCAGGAGCTCACAAAGTAGAGTTTTTGCTCACAGGACTCCACAGCTTAGAGGGAACCTTGGTGCTCAGCTGGGCCATGTTGTGAAGCCGAGCGGAGTCCGTGCTCCCCAAATGCGCGCCCTGAGCGGAGAACAGCGCCCCCCTCTGTTGAATCCTGAGCAAAGCGTAAAGCGCTCCGGGCAGTTGGAACAGTCACTTCTTGGCCTCTGGCTTCTCTTACGCTTAAACACCTTGAAGGTGGAAGAACCTACCATATCCCTGGGCAACCGAACCCACCACTAAACGGCCCTCATTGTTAAAACGTTTTCCCTAATATCCCGCCCTTCTCTCCGTAGCTGATTAGTTAGAACTGTAGTAACAGACGGGTCTTTTCCAGCTCAGGTATTGATTAGTTCGTATCCGGCAGCTGATCTACCCCATCTTGTGACAAATGGAGCACTCAGATTTTGTCACTGTATTTTACTGTTTTATATTATGTGTTTTTATTGTTTTAATCTCGGCACTTTGTGCCCTTGTTAACCGCCCTGAGCCTTTGGGGTAGGGCGGGATACAAATCTAAGGATAGATAAATAAACAAATAAACAAATAAATAAATCAATCACTGTGGCAGAGTAGCTGCCGTTGGTTCCCGGAGCTGAAGGGCAGGACGTTCAACTAGATTCGTGACATTTCCCCCTAGAAGTTAAACCCTGTCGGTCGTCTCCCCGCCCTTGTCTCCAGGCAACAGCCGAGCCGTGCCCATGGAGGTGCCAGCCGAGCCAGTCCGCGTGGTGCCCATCACCCTGTTGACGGGCGAGACGGAGCCAGAACTGGAAAGCCTTCTGCCGGGTGGCGAGTCCCCAGAGGTGGACGAGGTCGCCCGGCCGCTGAGCCCCACCCGGCTGCAGCCGGTCCTCCCGCCGGAAGCCCAGAAGGTCCCGGAGTTCGAGGAGGTGGCCCGCGTCCTGGCAGAGATGCCCAGGCCCCTGAAGCGCCGCGGCTCCATGGAGCAGTGCCCCAGCCTGGCCCTGCCCCCCACCCACAAGAAGCAGTACCAGCAGATTATCAGCCGGCTCTTCCACCACCATCCCCGCAAGGAGGAGGCCGTCCCGGTGGGGGAGGCGGCCCCCCCGGCAGATCTCGTGCCCATCAGCGAGGCCGCCGAGCAGAAGGCACCAGGGACGCCCTTGGCACCGGCCCCTGTGCCCCCACCCCAGAGCCCCGCGATGCCCGTGCCTTCCTTTCTAGACACGCCTGAGAGTCCAGCGATGGTCTCCGCTGTTCACAGCCCGGTAAGTCTGCATCCAAAGACCCCTTGATGGGGTCTGAACTGGCAGAGACTGATCAAGAGAGAGATCTTGAAGTCGTAGTAGATAACTCACTGAAAATGTCGAGACAGTGTGCGACTGCAATAAAGAAGGCCAATGCTATGCTGGGGATTATTAGGAAGGGTATTGAAAACAGATCAGCCAATATAATAATGCCCCTATATAAATCAATGGTGAGACCTCATTTGGAATACTGTGTGCAGTTCTGGGCACCACACCTTAAAAAGGATATTATAGCTTTGGAAAAAGTGCAGAAAAGGGCAACTCGAATGATAAAAGGGTTGGAACACTTTCCCTATGAGGAAAGGTTAAAGCATGGGCCTTTGGCCTGATCCAGCATTGGCTCCTCTTATGTTCTTATGACCCTTCCTGCCCCTGTGACGTGACACATTTCTGAAGCAGAGCAGCCGATGCGCAGCCCCCCATATCCCTGGTGGTGTGCAGCCTCTAGCGGCAGTGACCGAACGAGAGAGCGGCACTCTGATCGGCTCCTTCCACCCAGGAAACCGTTGGCCCCGATCCCAGTTGCGTTGGGAGATCCCGTGTCACCTGTGACCATTCTTTGTGTGTGCCTCCCGCAGTGGGGACTCGAAAATAACAGAACCCGCAACCAGACAAAATGACCAATGCACCGTAATAAAACGCAAAAATATATCACTGAGAGTTTATATGTAGGTAAAGGTCATGAAAAGGGCTGCCGTGGCTCAAGTGGTTAAGACACTGAGCTGCGGATCGGAAGGTCGGTCGTTCAGCAGTTCGAGACCCGAGTGCCGCATGACGGAGTGAGCTCCCGTCTCCGGCCCCAGCTCCTGCCAACCTAGCAGTTCGAAAGCAAGGAATTGCAAGGAGATAAATAGGTACCGCTTCGGTGGGAAGGTAACAGTGTTCCGTGCGCCTCGGCGTGTAGTCATGCCGGCCACATGACCACGGAAAAGTCTTTGGACAGCGCTGGCTCTTCGGCTTGGAAACGGAGATGAGTCGGATTCTGGAGTCCGATTCGACTGGCTTTCGAGCAAGGGAAGCCGTTACCTTTACTTTACCTAAAGGTCATGAAAATGGTGTGGTGCCCGGATAAGAGTATATATAAATGAGGATGTTTTGGAATGACTGTCTGCTTTAATGACTCTGACAATGTTAACAGCTATTAATTAATGGATGCACTGTGATTAGTTCCACTGATGAAGTGAGCCGAAACGAGGCCTTTATATCCGGAATCCTCGTGTGACTTCTGCCTGACTTTGTGTGACTTCTGCCTGATTTCTTTTTGGCTTCTGCCTGATTTTTTGGCTTCTGCCTGACTTCTGACGTTCTAATCCCTTTGGACCGATACTTTAGACTTTTTTGGGATCCCATTTGTTTGACCATTCTCTGACTAATAGTTTGTGCCGTATGGTATTCTGTACTCCTCGTATATGTGATTATGTTATGTTGCTTAATTCTGTATTGAATTATATATTTTCATGACCTTTACCTCCATGTAAATTCTCAGTTATATATTTTTGCATTTTACTACAGTGTATTTGTTATTTTTGTGTTTGTATACACACTGTAATCCTTGTGTATTCTCCTGTAATGGGAAGGCACTCTACACATGCTCAGAGGGGTTCATTCTTGCTTTGTTTTTACAAGTGGAGGTGTTGGGGCTTGTTCCCTCCCACCCTGAGTCCACATGGGGACGGCAATGCACTCTGTACGCACACAGGGGCATGCCTGTGCTTACAACTCCTTTGCCTGCTCCTGGAATGATTGTCCTGAAATTCTGGCTCGGGGTTTTAGCCGCCATGTGAAGTGGATGCTCTCTGTCGCCTTCTCCGTAACCGTCTCCCTCCCCTGGTTTGCGTACAGGAGAAGCGCTCTGCCCTGCGCAAAGTCTCTTCGCCACGGAAGCGGCCGAAGCAGAGGGCCCGCCTCAACCCCCTGGTTCTCCTCCTGGATGCAGCGCTGACCGGCGAGTTGGAGGTGGTGAAGGAAGCCGTGGCGGAGGTGAGAAGGCACAGCCATTGGGGTCGGCTGGGCTGGATTGGGGCCGGGGGGGTCCTCAGGTCCGTAGCCTGGATTTCATGGCTTGTGGGGCAACTGTTTTTCTGGTGGGGCTGAAGTTCTCAGTGCAGAAAGAAAAGCCATTTAGACGATAGAAAGCTGTGACCAGGATAGATCTCTAAACTGCAAGCTGTCAACCGCTTTAGACGACAGTTCTCAGCTGCTGCAAGTTAATTACTTCTGCCAGCCCAAGCAACACTTCTGATAACAAGCCGGCAGGTGGGGGTGATAACTACACCAGTTTGGTGTTGTGGTTAAGTGCGCAGACTCTGATCTGGGAGAACCGGGTTTGATTCCCCACTCCTCCACTTCTACCTGCTGGATGACCTTGGGCAAGCCGTAGCTCAGATAAGAGCTGTTCTTGAAAAAGAGCAGTTTCTGTCAAGAGCTCTCTCAGCCCCGCCTACCTCACAGGGTGTCTGTTGTGGGGAGGGGAAGGGAAAGGAGTTTGTAAGCCGCTCTGAGACACCTTCGGGTAGTGAGAGAAATCCAATCTCTTCTTCTTCTTCTTCTATAGTCAAAAAAGCTAACACTTAGGAGGCAGAAAAACTGTCTTAAAGGAGACCAGTTTCTTGACACAAAGTTAGGAGGTATCCTAGAGGTCACCTACTCCAACCCCCTTGCTCAGTATGGGAATCAGTCAACTGCAGCACCCCACTCTGCTTAAAGGAGCCCATGCCTTTAAAAAAATGTTTCTAAATGATTGAAAAAAGCATTTACAGGAGAAATTCTTGTGGGGCTGTGCCTTTAAGAAAGGGGGTGGAGCCCCTGAAAGTCCCACTGTAGCTATGGGCCTGGGGTGGGTGGGCTGTCAGCTGGAAGTCGAGGGGCAAACTTTGTGTTCAGCTGATGGCAAACTTTTGTCAGTGGGGCAAGACTGGCGAGAGGCCAGCTGGTTTATTTCCCAAGCTGTTTTGGCGGCAGCGCTTTACTAAACGTTTCAGACGGCAAGTTCTAGCAGGGTCCGCGCGTGATAATGGCACGATGGTAAACAAAAAAACGATGCCAAGGGACTTGGTAGTTCTGTAGCACAGTATGCATGTGATTGCGGGGGTCTGAGCAACAGCCCTGTTAGGTAGGCCAGGATCTGGTCATCCCCTTGTTATAGACCAGGAAGCTGACTAAGGACAGGGTGGTGGCCTCAGGGCGCTGCGGGACTTCAGGACTGTTGTCCGCTCCTCACAGGGCTGCCCTGTAGGCATAATTGCTACACGGCCGGTGTGACTCCCTGCCAGAGGTGGTGAGCTTTCTAGATTTTCTTTTTCTGGATTCCTTCCTTGTGTACGGTTGGGTGCCTGGCCTCTCTGGCAGCCATTGTGAACGTTCTAGGGTTTCTAGGAGCCAGTTTGGTGTGGTGGTTAAGAGCACGGACTCTGATCTGGGAGAGGACTGGGTTTGATTCCCCACTTCTCCACATGCAGCTGCTGGTGTGACCTTGGGTCATTCATACGTTCTTTCAGAGCTGTTCCCTCACGAGCCGTTCTCGAGAGAGCTCTCTCAGCCCCACCTGCCTCACAGGGTGTCTGTTGTGGGGAGGGGAAGGAGATTGTAAGCCCCTCTGAAACTCCTTCGGGTAGTGAAGTGCGGAGTATAAATCCAATCTCTTCTTCTCCTCCTTCTCCACACACGGCTGCCAGTGTGGCCTTGGGTCAGTCACAGGTTCTCTCAGAGCTGTTCTCTCAAGGGCAGTCCTTGAAAGAGCTCTCTCAGCCCCACCGACCTCACAGGGTGTCTGTTGCGGGGAGGGGAAAGGGAAGGAGATTGTAAGCCCCTCTGAGACTCCTTCGGGTAGTGAAGGGCCATGGGGTATAGACCCAATCTCTTCTTCTTCATCATCTTCCTCCTCTTCTTTCTCCTCTTCCTCCTCCTCCCTGTTTGTCCCACCTACCTCTCAGGGTGTCTGTTGTGGGGAGGGGAAGGGGAAGGAGATTGTAAGCCCCTCTGAGACTCCTTCGGGTAGTGAAGGGCGGAGTATAAATCCCATCTTTTCTCCTCCTCCTCCTTCTGCACACGCAGCTGCCAGTGTGGCCTTGGGTCAGTCACAGGTTCTCTAAGAGCTGTTCTCTCAAGGGCAGTCCTTGAAAGAGCTCTCTCAGCCCCACCTACCTCTCAGGGTGTCTGTTGTGGGGAGGGGAAGGGGAAGGAGATTGTAAGCCGCTCTGAGACTCCTTCGGGTATAGAACCAATCTCTTCTTCTTCATCATCTTCCTCCTCTTCTTTCTCCTCTTCCTCCTCCTCCCTGTTTGTATATGGTATGGTGTCTTACCCGAAAGAAGGAGCAAGCCCCAAAAGGAGATTGATAGTGGCATAGAATAAAGTTGAATTTAAATTTGCGGGAGGGGCACGGCCTCTTTGAAACCAGGCAGCTGGTCGGCCTGGGTGTGTCCGTTCCCCAGGGCTTTCCCTAACGGATGACCACCACGCTTTAAAAAAATGTGCAGTTATTCGAAGCCTAATAGTTACCGTATTGAAGAGTCGAGGGGCGGTCCGCCAGTTTGGTGTAGTGGTTAAGTGCGCGGACTCTAATCTGGGAGAACTTGCACCTGGCTGGATGACCTTGGGCAAGCCATAGTTCTGATAAGAGCTGTTCTTGAAGAAGAGCAGTTTCTGTCAGAGCTCTCTCAGCCCCACCTACCTCACATGGTGTCTGTTGTGGGGAGGGGAAGGGAAAGGAGTTTGTAAGCCGCTCTGAGACACCTTTGGGTAGAGAAGGGTGGGGTATAAATCCAATCTCCTCCTTCTCTCTGTGTTCTTTGCTCCTGGGAGGTCTGTAGCCAGGGATTTCAATCCCATTCTGCAAACACCTATTTCTTGGACGCAGAAGTCCCCAGGCTCAGTCTGCAGCTGCATTTCCAGTTAACAGATCTCGGAAATCGGGTCACGGAAAGACCTCGGAGCTAAGAATCTTGGGGTGGGCCCCCGCCAATGGGAAGAGGCGAGACACAGGCAGGGCCCCCGGTCAGGGGCCCCGGTTTTCTAACCTGGGGTCAGGACAGCCTCAGGTGTTCAGGCCAAGCGGAAAAGAGGCAAAATTGGGCTCCCCGCAGACAAGGAAGGGGTGTGTGTCTGACCTGGCGTGTGGGAAATGTGACTTTGTAAACTCACTAGAAGGAGAAGAAAAGACCCAGCTTGCTCCAAGAGGCAAGAGATGGCGAGAGCTGTTGAGGTTCAGAGAAAGGGAAAGTCCTTAAAAAGAAGAAGAAGAGACTGGATTTATCCCTGCCCCTTCACTCGGAGTCTCAGAGCGGCTTAGAAACTCCTTTCCCTTCCCCTCCCCACAACAGACACCCACTTAGGTAGGTGGGGCTGAGAGAGCTCTGACAGAAACTGCTCTTTTTCAAGGACAGCTCTGAGAGAACTTGTGACTGGCCCAAGGTGCAAGTGGCGGCGTGGGGAATCAAACCCAGTTCTTCCAGATTAGGGTCCGCGTACTTAACCACTGCACCAAACTGGCTCTCACCAAACTCATGAGAGCTTACAGGATCCTGTGGGGTGGGCCGATTTTGCCGACGAGAGTTTTCAAATTGTTCCTCCTCCTACCTTGAAATCTCTCCCCCCCCCAGCTGAATGACCCAAGCCAGCCGAACGACGAGGGCATCACCGCCCTCCACAACGCCATCTGCGGTGCCAACTACAACATCGTGGACTTCCTCATCAACATCGGCGCCAACGTCAACTCCCCCGACAGCCACGGATGGTGAGTCTCAGAGAAGGGGGGGGGAGCATGCCTTCCTGTCCCCCCTGCCCAGTCACAGGGGCAGCCGCACGCCCCATAAGCGGGCACCCGCCATCTCCACCGTACAGATTGCCCGCTTGACGCAGTCACAGGGGCAGCCGCACGCCCCATAAGAGGGCACCCGCCATCTCCACCGTACAGATTGCCCGCTTGACGCGTCTCGTCCCTCCCTCTCAGGATCACACTGCACTGTGGCGCCTCTTGTAAGGAGTAAGTATGCAAGGACTTCCAGTGAAAAACAATAAAAGTCATTCACTGAACACTGGGGATAAGGTGCCGTTTCTCTGCCAGGCCTTTCTTAAAGGTCAGCACTCCCAGTTCGGCCGTCTGACTCCTTCTGCTTCCAAACAAAATATCAACACGAGGCTCTTGCTGGTTGATATATTTATAGTCCAAAATACAAAAAAAGCAGTCGAAGATGTACCGGCTATACAACCTTTTCGAGAATCCTTTCTAAAGACTGAACTTATATTAAAGCCACACCTACAAACTCAATCTCCAGTGCTGAAGCTCCTAATTCTGGCACAGCATTAATCTCTCTAATGAGGCATTTTCCTCCCCTTTCTCACAGCTCTGGGCAATGCTCCCTCTAAGATGTGGAGTCTTGTGAGCAAAAATTCTACTTTGTGAGCTATTGGCATTAAAGTTGTGAGTGAGTGATTTGGCTACTGCATAAATTAGTTTGCTCTGGAGCCATTCTTCCTGAGCTAAGACAAAAATATGTGAGCCAGAGGCTATACCACTTCAGTGGGAAGGTAACAGCGTTCCGTGCATCTTGGTGTTTAGTCATGCCGGCCACATGACCACGGAAACGTCTTCGGACAGCGCTGGCTCTTCGGCTTTGAAACGGAGATGAGCACCGCAACCCTCGAGTCGGACTCCACTGGCTTTCGAGCAAGGGAGACCTTTACCTTTACCTTTTAAACCAGTACTACATGTATGCGATCCAGTTTCTAGAGTTAGACAAACGAAGACAAATCCAAACTCACATTAAGACCAATTGGTGCAATAGAATCATAGAATCGTAGAATGTTAGAGTTGGAAGGGACCTTGCAGGTCATCTAGTCCAACCCCCTGCACTCTGCAGGAGCATAGCCAAAAGAGAGCCCTACAACATACCCGAAAGATTCCAGCCTCCGCTTGGAAACGTCCAGCGAAGGAGCATCCACCACCTCCCGAGGCAGACTGTTCCACTGCTCAACCACTCTTACAGTTAGGAAGTTTCTCCTGATATTTAGCCGGTAACGACTCCCTTGTAATTTCCACCCATTCGATCTAGTCTTGCAATCTGGAGCCAGAGAGAAGAGATCTGCTCCCTCTTCTACATGACAGCCCTTCAGATACTTGAAGACTGCATTCATGTCCCCTGTAAGCCTTCTCTTTCCCAGGCTAAACATACCCAACTCTTTCAACCGTTCCTCATAAGACTTGGATTCCAACCCTCTCACCGTCCTGTTTGCCCTCTACTGGGCACACTCGAGCTTGTCAACGTCCTTCCTAAAATGTGGTGCCCAAAACTGGACACAGGACTCCAGGTGAGGCCTGACCATAGCAGAACAGAGCGGAACCACCACCTCCCGTGATCGGGAGAACGAAGTTTATGTATGAACCATGCCTCTTTTTGTAATAAAATATGACCAGTGTCCTCAGTATTATATTTATGTGGGTTTATACTGATAAATAACACAGTACCTTAAGCTTTCAGGGGCATGTCCCTTTTTCGTGCCAGTGTTCAAGGATTCTAGACTTATCGCTCTAGAACACTTCCCCACATAAATTTTTAGAACAATCACATTGAATTGTATAGATAGTATTACGACCCTCACAATTTGTTTTTCTGGTAAAGTCTTATGGTGGCTCAAGTGGTTAAGATGCTGAACTGCAGGCTGTGGAAGGTCAGTAGTTCAGCAGTTCGAGACCTGAGTGTGCCGCATGACGGAGTGAGCCCCCATCTCTGGTTCCAGCTCCTGCCAACCTAGCAGTTCGAAAGCAAGAAATTGCAAGTAGATAAATAGGGACCACTTCGGTGGGAAGGGAACAGCGTTCCGTGCGCCTTGGTGTTGAGTCATGCCGGCCACATGACCACGGAAATGTCTTCGGACAGCGCTGGCTCTTCGGCTTTGAAACAGAGATGAGCACCGCAACCCTAGAGTCGGACTCGACTGGCTTTCAAACAAGGGAAACCTTTACCTTTACCTTATGGTAATATCCTCGACTGGATGCTTCAACTCTTGTGCGGTCGTGGTCAATGCACCGTACAAATTGGCCGCTTCATGCGTCTTGCCTCTCCCTTTCAGGACCCCACTGCATTGTGCCGCCTCCTGCAACGACACGGCCATCTGCATCGCTCTGGTCAAGCACGGCGCGGCCATCTTCGCCACCACCTGCAGCGACGGCAGCATTGCCATCGAGAAGTGTGATCCCTACCGGGAGGGCTACAGCGAGTGTTTCAGCTACCTGGCAGGTGAGGGCCCGTCGGGGGCGTGGGGAGGGGTCAGCGAGGGGCTTGGGGCACGGCTTCCCTTCCAGTGCACGTCCTACGGGAGAGAGGTTCACAAAAATTACGCGTGGGGTAGGGAAGGTAGAGGAAAAAAGTAGAGAAGAAGACGAATAGAAGAGACTGGATTTCCACCCCATGGCCCTTCACTCCCCAAGGGAGTCTCAGAGCGGCTCACAAACTCCCTTCCCTTCCTCTCCCCACAACAGACACCCCGTGAGGTAGGTGGGGCCAAGAGAGCTCTTGACAGAAACTGCTCTTTTTCAAGAACAGCTCTTATCAGAACTACGGTCATCCAGCAGCTGCATGTGGAGGAGAGGAAGAGATTGTATTTATATCCTGCCCTTCACTACCCAAAGGAGTCTCAGAGCGGCTTACAAACTCCTTTCCCTTCCCCTCCCCACAACAGACACCCTGCGAAGTAGGTGGGGCGGAGAGAACTCTGACAGAAACTGCTCTTTTTCAAGAACAGCTGTGCCAGAGCTTGTGACTGACCCAAGGTCACATCAGCAGGTGCAAGTGGAGGAGTGGGGGAATCAAACCCGGTTCTCCCAGATTAATTTATCCCCTCCCCTTCCCTACCCAAAGGAGTCTCAGAGCAGCTCACAAACTCCTTTCCCTCCCCCTCCCCACAACAGACACCCTGCGAGGTAGGTGGGGCTGAGAGAGCTCTG